CACTGCCGCCTCCGGCCTGGCAGCAGGGGGCGCAGGCGCAGAGTGAGGCTCCAGTGCGCAGGCTCGCGGGAGCCTCCAGGATTGGATGGCACCGATCCCGCAGGTCCGGTGGGCCTGAGAACCCAACTCGCGAGGTGGGCGGTTGGCAGGTGGGGCGGTTCGGGCGAGGCTGGGTGCGGCAGGGCCAGGTGAGGAGAGATACTGGGGGCTGGGGCGGGGAGTTGAGGGACGTCCGTGCCGAGGTGTGAGAGGGCAGAGTTGGGCCCACCTAATGGTCTTGAGAGGCAGATGCCGCTGATGCCCAGGGGCTGAAGGTGTAAGGTGTGGGCTGTGGCCCCAGCCACAGACAGGCCCCCTGGGCAGGTTTCGGGTGGGCCCTGGGCAGGGTGAGGCCAGAGCGCGCCGCAGCCTCCGGCGGAGACAGCCAGGGCGGCGTGGTGCCGCGCCTTGCTGCCACACGTGTTGTGGGTGCTGTGCGCGACAGCTTTGGGACAGGGAGCGCTTTGGCTCTGTGGTAAAGAAAGACCTTGAACTCTCGCTGAAGCGCGTGGAACTGCTGTGATTGGTAAGAAGCCATAGTCGGGTGCTAGCTCACCGGTCCCTGCTTCCTGGGCTGAGGAGGTTTGGGGGCCAGGAGCTCCATTCTCACTCAAGGACCAGTGAGGGTTTGTTGCCGAGTCCAAACTCGTTCTGCTTGCCGCACGACAGGCCAGTAAAAACAAAGGTTATTCTCTACTACAGGCCGAGTGGCCCAGAGAGAAACAGGGCATTAATTCATGATTAATTCCACAGCTATTTTTAAACACCTCCTGTGTACCAGGACTGTTCTAGAAGCTGAAAATACCTACGAACAAGATAGGCAAGGTCCCTCCTTCAGGGACTTACATTCCAGGTGGGAGAGAGCCAGTCAAGGCTGAGTTCTGGGGTTTTGCCTTGCTGTTTAATGAGATGGGGAAAACTGTAGGTGAGTTAGGTTTCATTTTTGGAATAGGTGGAGTCGAGAATTATGTCTTGGGTATCTTAGGTTTGAGATGCCTAGTAGGTTTTTTCCAAGATGCAACACATGAACAATATAGTTAGAAAGAATTTTATAGGGAACTCCATACACCCACCACCTAGACCCTACCATTAATATTTAGTTGCGCTGGTTTTTTCACAGATCTATGCATCTCTCAATCCCTCTCTCCATCTGTCAATCGCTTGGTGGATTTATTTATTTATTTAGTGGTAAAATGTACATAAGTCACCTAGTAGATTTTTAAGTTGAGACATCAAACAGGCCATTGGAAATTTGAAGGTGAAGTCCTGGAGGGTGTTAGGGCTAGAACTGGCCTTTGGAGTGGTCACCATATAGGTGGTATTTAAACTAAGGGACTGGGTGAAACTACCTAGGTGGAAAGTAGACAGAGAAAAGAGAAAGGGAAGCTAAAAAGAGAGGGAGCTGGTGGTCAGCCATGGTGAGTGCTACCGTGCAAGATGGTTTGGCAATTAGGAGGATTTTAATCATTTTAACAAGAACAACTTTAGTGCAATAGATGGGGCCTTAAGGTCAAGTGGAATTTTGTTTTTAAGACAAGAGAAATTCAGAATATGCTTATATGCCAGTGGGATTGAACTCATAGAAAGGGAGAAATATTTGAATAACTGAGGGGAGGAAACTCCAGAGCAGGTGAGTAGTTGGCTTTAAAATGGGCAGGAAATGATACTGCATTGTGACTAGAGGGGAAGCCGAAAAAAACGGGTGCAGGTAGGTGGAAGAGGCCCCATCTGTCTGTGAAGGTGGTCACTGGCTGAGAGTTAGGGCAGCAGGGGAGCAGGGAAGAGATCTGTTAGAACAGGGAGGAAACACATGTAAGGGTCCCTCTGAAGAGTGGGAAAGTGAACTCACTAGGGAAATGGAGTTGGTTTGCTAGGCAGTGCTGAGTGCCCGTTTGAGATGTGGAGTCGTGAACGTAAAATGAGATCATCCCAGTGGGGTTGTGGTTTCCAGTGGGGAAGTTCAGGCTTGGAAGGTTGTTGTGAAGTTTAGTAGATGAGGTAATACATAGAAACATTTAACACAATAGCAAGCACGTAATGGATGTTACCTGTTTTTGAATTCTCATTTTGTTTCTCTTTTGTTTTTACAAATGTGCCTGGGGAAGGCTGACCTTTACCACCGGACAGTATTGTCTCCTGTGACATGTTTTCCAGTCAAACCAAAGTCCACCGCAGTTTGCAGCTACTTGGAGGTCTGGCTCCTGGTGTGGTTACATTTATACAGCTTCATAATTGAGTATGTGTGCTAAAAAGTGCCAAACTGTAGCAACCATAGCAAACAGAGCTTTCCATTTTCATACTGACTCCTAGTCTTGGACTGGATCGGCTGGGGGTTTGTCACAGTGGCAGTTCTTAAGTTTCGTTTATCTTTTATTCCTGCAGCTCATATTGGATCTGATGAAATGGGAATCTACAGGATCTACAGATATGAGGTAGTCAGGGGAGAGTTGCAGTTTCATGGACTGTTATTTCTCCCTGACCCCTTCGGGCTGTAGTATGATGCAAATAACATCTGACAGGTCTTCAAAGTGCCAGGCACTGTTGTAAATACATCACGTGCATAATCTCGTTTAATTGTCACCTCAACGCAGTGAGTCAGGTACTATTGTTATGTCTATTTTTCAGATGCAAAAATAGGCTCAGAGGGCTTAAGTAACTTGCCCAAGGTACAGAGTCTGATCTCCAGTTTCTCCTGCAGACATCAACTTTTTTTTTAAGATGTTGACCATTAATCATCTACATTGTAGTAGAGTAAATAAGATAATGGACTGGAGCAAATTGCCTGGGTTCAGAAACTGCCACCTACTAGCTACATGTCCTTGGGTAAATTATTTATCCTCCATGTGCCTTTGTTTCTTTATCCATGAAATAGGAATAACAGTACCTGCATGATAGGGTTCTTACGAAGATCACATGAGTTAATGTACTTAATAAGCCTAAATTTGTGCCTGGTTGTTTAAATGCTGCTCTTGTCATCTGCCTGGTACTGCAGCCATGGTGATATGTGTACTGATTGACTCCCCTAAAATCATTTTCTGTGGGTCCTACTGCGGAGTCTAGGTGGAGTTTCGACGTGCTTCTAACTCAGGCATTATCTCTGTTTCCTCTGATTTTATTAGCTCTCTGATGGAAGCAAACCTACCAGTGCTTCTAGGTCCAGAAAACAACTTGAATTTCATTCAGTTTCATCTGACCAGTGATGTTCATTTAACTTGTCCTGGGATTGGAGTATGGCTTAAAGGGAAATGAGCCTTGGAGAGTAATATGCGTCCGTTTTGCCCTTCCCAGGCAGCCTGTTAGAGGGATTTGGTTGGAAAGGCCAATGGACCACATAGCCAGTTCTGGGCACAGTGTATGGTAAATGATGTGGGTCAAGGGGCTGCACGTGAACATGATCAACAATGATCTGTAAAATTGAAACTTACTGTGATGTGTTGCTTCCATTAGTGATTAAAAGCAACTGGTCAGGCTTGGCATGGGAGGCCAGTGAAAGTTCTAGACGATGTTTTCTGGTAGACAACAGGGAGAGTAAATGCATGGTATAAAGTAGTGGTTCCCAGTGGGTTTGCGTCAGGATAATCTGGAGAGTTTCGTGAAGCTTTGCAAAATGATAGGCTTCACCTCCACAGATTCTCAGTAAGTCATGATGGGGTTCTGGATTCAATCTATTTTTTAAGAGCTCCCAGAATGCCTTGGATGTACACTTAGCATGGGATATCATTAGTGCAAATCAGTGCTATTCAGTCCTGTTTTTTAAAATCACTGTTCATTTGGATTTTTAAAAATTACTGATGCCCTGGATTCACCCCAGGGATTCTGATTCAAGTGGTTTGGGCAAGGTCTGGACATTTAATAATGGTATTTTTGAAAAAGGTTCTTAGGTGATTAACCTGCAGTCACGTTTGAGAATCACTGGTATAAATAATCAGCTAGATTTCCCTTCACAGTTTAGTTATTCCTAGATTTGAAATAGATACAGCTTTAGGCACTATCTTGTTAGGAGAGTGAAAAAATTACTGTTTCTAAACTCCTCCATTGCAGATGTTCAATTTAATAATCAAGTAACAAAGAAAGATATGAATTGAGGACTGAATCAGCATTTATCACTGAGCAATGAAGATTTCATGAGGTTTTCCCTGGGAGGAATTAACATTTACTGAGAACTTTATGTGTAATCTCAATCTTAACAACAACTCTAGGAGGTGTTTATTATTCCCATTTTGCAGATAAGAACTTTGGGGCTTAGGGAGGTTAAGTAACTTGCCCAAGATGTACACCCAAGTATGTACAGCTCCGAAGTCTGGGTTTCATTTCCTTAGTGATTCTCAACCTCTGCTGCATGGTTGGATCACCTGGGGAACTTTAATGATAGATCCTTGGCTCGCATTCTCAAGAGATTCTGATTTCATTGATTTAGTGTGGCCTGGAACTGGGATTTTGCAAAGCCCTACAGATGATTCTAATCTGGAATCTGAAATTGGCGATCTCTGCATTATACCATGCAACCTTCTGGGGGGGGGTGTTCCTAAATTTATTTATGTGTTTAATTTATGCCAGTTTAATTTTATGGTTGTCCCTCTGTAGAGTGATGTGACGCAGTTGTTTGCCTCCATATATTCACATATCTTAGAGTCCTTTCTGCTCCTTCTTGCCTCTTAATATGTATTGAGTGCCTGGTTTTTGCCATTTTTCTTAGTGCTGAGATGACACAGTGGTGACAAGACAAACCAAGTCACCAGCCTTGTGGTACTTACATTGAGGAATATACACAGTAAATGTATGAGCAGATAAATTTTGACTTACATACATAAGCAAACTTTAAGGTAATGAAAGGTGCTTTTAAGAAAAGTAAAATGGGGACGAGGCCAAGATGGCAGAGTAGTAGGATGCACGTAGCTCACGCTCTCCCACAGATACACCAAGACTCACATCCGTGGACCCACTCAGCCAACCAGAGCACCTGCGGAACTCTGACAGAACATTGTCCTCTCCGACAGAACAAAGACGCCAAAAATCTGGTAGGAGAAAGGAAGAAAGGAAGACAGAAAGGCAAAACAGTGCAGGACTGGTCCCGTGGGGAGGGAGCAGCAAAGGAGGACTGGCGCTCATTCGCTGGGTCTCCCCCTCTCCAACAGAGAGGCCAGCAGGACAGAGGGGGAGTCTCCGAGGCTCGGATCTGTACGGAGCAGACTGACAGAACTAAGTTAAATGGGCACAGAGGGTCCCTGCAACACCCAGCTTGCGACCTGAGCCGGGAGCTGGGGGCTGGGACAGGCTGCCTGAGCCGGGTGGAGGATGGGGACAGCTGCACTGAGGCAGCCCCGGGGGACTGCAGGGTGCTGCACAGTGTGGATAAGTGGGTGCACAGGACAGAACAACCTGGGCCCTCCATAAAACACCATGGCTGATGTGCCCTGGGGGGAAGGGGAAGTGTGCATACCCCCATCTCTGAAAACCCACAGAAGGTTTTCAGCGAGGTAAGGCAGGGCTCAGGTGCAGCTGCCATATCCTCGGGCGCTTGGCACCCAGGTGGGGGCGGGGGCAAAACCTGAATCCATGCCTGGGGGTTCGGCACCCTCAAAGGCCAGTGACTTGTTTGCAGCCCAAGTCAGGATCCTTCCGCCCTGGTGCCTCGGAAAGTTCGCACCACCAGAACAAACAAGGAGCTGAGTTTGGGCACGGAGCAGGGGCAGAGCTGTTCTGCGGTCTTTTCGGGGCCCGCCTGTGGAGCGCCAACCTGGGGCAGAGCGCAAGGCGTCGCAGAGCTGCAGAGTGACCAGCGCCGGGAGACGGCGTGTGGACCCTAGCCTTTCCGGCAGGAACGCTGTGCTGGGAGGGGGCACGATTTGCTTGCCAACAGGCACTGGGAGCAGCACAGACGAGGGCACCAAAGGAGGACCTCTGGAGACAGCAAGCCGAGCTCACCAAACAGGGAGAAGACAGAAAGACTTATCATTAAGAGCACAGTCTCCAGGAGAACACTCCCTCCCCCCCCCTTTTTTTTTGAATCTGTTTTTGCCTGTTGTGTTTTCTATTACCTTTTTAATTTTTACTTTTTCGACAATTATGTATCCTCCCAGTTTTAATCCCTTTTAAATTTTTCTTTTAAAATAATATTATTTTTAAAAATTCACGTCATCATTTTTATTTCTCTTGGTTTTGATCTCGTGTTATTGTTTATACACAGGTTTCAAATATATTTTTTCCTCTTTTATTTTAAAGCTTTTTAAGAGATGTCTCAGCCCGATTGCTATTCTGCTTTGACTTACTCTTCAATTATTCATTATCTACTGTTTTCAAACCTTTTTTCCTCCCCTTTTTCAAAATTCGCTCTTTATCATATCTTTTTTATCTGTTCTATTTTTATTACCTTTTTAATTTCTACTTTCTAAACAATTGTATATGTTTCTAGTTTTAATTCCTTTTTAAATTTTTCTTTCTAAACAATTGTATATGCTTCTAGTTTTAATTCCTTTTAAATTTGTCTCTTAAAGTAGTTATTATCATTTTTTTTAAATCCACCTGATTTCATTTTCATTTCTTTTGGTTTTGGTCTCCTGTTATTGATTATAAATAGGTTTCAAATATCATTTTTGGATCTTTTTTCCTTTTTTTTTGTTTAAGGGTTTTTTAAAAAAGACATCTCAAGATGAATGCTAGTCTGATTCAAATTGCGCTTCTATAATTGGTTATACACTGTTTTCAAACCTTTTTTCTCTGTTCTTTTAAAATTCTCTTTCTCTCTCTCCCTTTTTTTATTTTTAAGTTTTACTCCTACATAGGCATTAGATAAATAAATAAACTCTTTTAAGGACCACAATAGATAACTGATACTCCATAAGCCACAAGGCCAGAGAGAGATGAGCAAGATGAAGAAGCAGAGGAACCACTCCCAGTTAAAAGAGCAAG